TGCAGTCTCATGAAAAATTCCCCAGATAATTTTAAAATTTGTCCAATTTTAATGGACAATGATTAATAGGGTTATCAGTAACATACAGTAGATGTTTGTGCGGGTAAGATTATCAACCTTGCTGTCAAACAAAACCAAGCATTTAATAGTGAGTGCCATAACATGTGCACTAATCAAACAGGTGGCAAGAAAATAAGGGCAGTATTGACCATTTGTTCAATACAGGTAGTCCTCGACTTATGACCATAATTGAGCTCAAAATTAAGTGAGACCTTCATTAAGTGAGTTTTGCCCCATTTTACAACCTTTGTCACCACTGTTAAGTGAATCACTTTAGTCGTAAAGATAGTCCCATGGCTGTTAAGTGAATCTGGCTTCCCCATTGACCTTGCTACTCAGAAAGTTACCAAAGATGATCGCATGACCCTGGGTCACTGCAACTGTCATAAATATGAGTCAGTTGCCCAGGAGCCAAATTTTGATTGTGTGATTATGGGACTGGTACAATAGTCCTAGCTCACTTTTTCAGGGCTGTTGGAACTTTGAATGATCACTAACTGAACAGTTGTAAGTCAAGGACCACCTTTTGAGTCAGTTTCCAAGCATCCGAAGTTTCATCATGTGATGATGGACATGCATTTTTCATTGCCCTTTAACTTTGAATGGTCACTAAATGAACTAAGTCAAGGACTACCTGTGTCTGTTCAAAATCATGATAGTGCTGAACATGGGGGCTTATGACCAGTGCTTGAAAATACAACTGTTGCAACACCCCTCACAATTATGTGAACAAAATTCAGGCACTTGGTGACTCAAGTATAACAGAATAGAATTGGAAGGGACCTTGGAGGTCTTCTAGTCTAATCCCCTGCTCAAGCAGGAAACCCCTATAATATTTCAGGCAAATGGCTGTCCAATTTCATCTTGAAAATCTGCAGCGTTGGAGCATTCACAAAGTGCAGAGATTCAATTAGAGAGACAATGAAAAGTTCAATATATTAACAAGTGCTTGAAAATCCAGTTGAAACAAGAAAAAAGAATGCTTCAAACCATTTATGTATACCGTTTCCCTGAAAAAAGACCTCCCCAGATAATAAGCCCAATTGGGCTTTTGAGTGCATGTGCTAAAATAAGCCCTCCCTGAAAATATTGCAACACAGCAGCAGCCATGAGGTAACTATGCTCACTGCTTCCTGCACCTCAAAAATAATAAGATCTCCCTGAAAATAAGGCCAAGCACTTATTTCAGGGGTCAAAAGAAAATAAGACCCTGTCTTATTTTCAGGGAGACACGATATAGTCTACACAAAATATTCAAATGTTATCCTTCCCCTCTTTTAAGATCTCAAAAATTGATATTCAAGAATGAAGAACGAGTAATTATATTATCCAACAACAATTGATTTTATTTTCTCCCACAAAGATTTACTTAGACCTGTCTGGGCGGCTTCTTTAAATCACCCCTTAGCATTTTGTTGGCTTCCCATTATATTGACAGAAAAAACTAACAACCATTGTTTTCTTTTCCCTCAGAACAATCAATGGATTAAATCATTTCCTTGCCTCCTACAGAGTTGCAACACAGATGAATTTAGGTTAGGGCAAAAAATTGTTTTTCACTTACACTCAATTGTTGTTTTTTAAAATCCTGTGGGAATATACTGGTGAACTGTTTTGCTAGAAAAAGGAATGATATTATATTTCAG